CGCGGTCAGGTCTGGCGTTTCACGCCACTAAGCTGCGTAACGTTTTACGCCGATAAACGGTGTTTGACGGCATAAAAAGTATAAACCCAGCTTAATGCAATTAAAGTTTCTCTCATTTATTGCAATCAAATATAAACACAATTATCTGTCAGCATTCAAGTTAGCAGGAGATATTTAGTAATTTTCAAACTAAATGATTATGTTGAATATAGACTGATATGAAAGATCAACAAATATCAAATGTAATTAGTTTAATTAGAGATGAGAAGATGTATTATCATGTATTTTATAATCAGTTAGATATTACACATTTTCTCTTTATACATTATATACTTATCTCAATTTCTTACTCACTATAATCATACCCTGGAGCATACAGCAAAGAAGTCTCTGAAATCATGGAATTTTATCTCTTTTTAAACGTTCATTTTGAAATTCAATCAAGTCTCATCTTGATTATTTTATCGGGAAAGGAAGGATAGGAAATTGTAATTCTTGCTATAAAACTAGTAAATTGGTGTAAAATTGAAGATATGTTTGTGGGAATGTACATATTGACATGTTTTAAGTTTTTATTATTTTATCATATAGATAATATAACAGTGATAAAGTCATTTAGAAGTAGATTACATGTATGAACCTGATTACAAATATTTACTTGTGTTACTTATATAGAGTTCTTAGTGCATGCAGTTAAAAGGTTAAAGTATGACCTGATGAATTCTCTTATCATTGATCTTATAAGTGACTTCATGAACTGCATTGGTCCTTTCCTTATATATTTGATAGTTTGGAGGAATATTAGTTGTCACTTAAACAAGATTATGATATGAAGACAGAATCAGCTATAAAAGATTTCATATGATAATCTGTTTATTGGTGAAAGTAGTACCAATCAATGTTTTAGTAAAAAACTATGATGATAAATGTAAGATTACTGCTGTAATGTAATCAAATTGATTTGAGTTCAATCTTTAACCCTATCTGTATTAAGTAATGAGGGAGTTTACTGTATTTCTAGACATTAGATGTATATTTATATGATAAATCAAATAGTATTCAACTGACCAATTACTTCAGCTATTCACTTGTTAAGATGTAGTGGAGGCCCTGGAGAAATGTGAGTGTTTTTCTGTGCTGAATAGAATCTATATCTTGTTTCAATAATTTTACCTCAGGGAATTCTCATCTAGTCTTTCTCTCAATATCCTTCTTTTCTAAAGGTTTTTTATTGATTTTTTCTTATAAGCTATAAAACATGAAGTAAGATGTTAAGGCAGCGAGTTTCATCTCAGACAAATTACCTCCTTCTGTTTTCTACAAGAGGAAATGAATGATGTTATGACCTAATGACTTCAGTTTTATATATCTAACATTTAACTCTTCTTTTAATATTCATAGCATTTCTACACACCTTAATTTCAGTGTTCCTGATGAGATAAAGGTCAATTAAAGTTTGTCATGAAATAACACAATAAAAATTTATATTCAAACATTTTCAACAATCAATTTGATTATACTCAATAATTCATATACTATCAGCCTAGGTTACTTTATAAATTTCTGTATAACAACATCTTACTTAGAAATATGTTTGATATGATTCTTTATTCTCTCTTCATTATTATCTTACTGTTAGCTGTATGTGAGTGATCACTGTTATTTATTATTATTAGATATTGATATATCTGTAGTCTAGGACACTTGATACCACACTATGATCATGTTTATCAACAGATTACTTTTCATGATCACTTGAGTTTTCCATCTTCTTATGTTCTTATAGGTTTTATAAAGAATTTGATTTCTTAAAAATAACAAAAGAAAGAGGATAGAAATTCATATTTTTCAGCTTTCCCTTCAACCTTGAACTTTAGCAACAAATTGTCTATAAATTTTGTATTCATTACAACAGATCTTTCCTAACAAATTTATTGCTTCATAAAATGTATTTTGTTTAGTGAATAGAAAACTTTATATGAGTATGAATGATAGATTAATGTCTTGTAAGTTTACATGAGGTCATAAACTTTCAAGAGAAAAACATCAAACATATATTTTATTGCATTCTATTTGAACAATAAAAGACATTTTGACATAAACTAGTGAAAGTATTTGACATATTTGCATTCAGATTATTTTAAAGTTGTAAAAAGATTTTTGTTTTTGTTTAGTCGGAAGATTAGAGCCCATCCAAGAAATAGTTTTATGTATTGAATTGAACTTACGTCAACTGGCAACACTAACATGCCTTTGGTAGTTATTTACTTAGATAAAAGTTGGCTTTGATAACTAGTGTAATCCTTAACCCCTGAAACAGAACAGAACTGTGTAATGTTAACAGTCAAGGTGGTTTTGGAATGGTTATTAGAACCAACTCAATAAATTAATGTTATGAAAATGGAACCCTTCATTTTGGCCTGGTGTTGAAAAAGGGCTCTTGAATACCATAGAACCCAGGAACAGTGAGAAACACAAAATTTCACGTTTTGGTTCCCCAATCTTCTCCCTTCAAGTATGAATTAAATGGGGCATTCCCAACACGTGATAAAATCTAAATAATATAGTGTATAGTGGAGGAATAGTTTAAAGAGTAAAAGTTTTGGTGTATTAATGTAGATGAGTAGTTATATGTAGATGTATGTAGAGAGTTAATTGATATAACAAGTTTAAGTTTGAAGTATAAACAGGGTAATATAGAGTGGTTTAAACTGATTTAGAAGGTTAAAGTAAGAGTGATTACATCCTCTGACTGTTGTGTATTATTTCTATATAATTATTGTATAATAAAACACTAGGTTATAACCTGTTATATTGTTACAATCAATAAAGTCAGAAATAATAATAATATGTTGATAAAAAAATGACTAGTACTGTAACAGGAAGCTACTAGCTGTTCTCAATTTAAAGGTTAAATATTATATTTTATAGTTACCCAATTCTTGACATATTTTATTAATTTAAACCACATGTTGTCCTCTACAAATATAAGTTAACATAGATATATTATCATTTTTTTACCTAAAATATATAATATATATAGTAAAGGCCAAGAGCAGTTCAACTGCTTGGTAAATTCTGGCATAGACATAATTCATAAGTAAAATTGTTTGATGCTGTGAGAACAGTTTGATTGTATTGACAGATATCAAATCGTTTTACTCACTATCACTTAAACAACTGTATGTTAGTGTACCCACTATGAACCAACTAATGTCTTCCATATTTTCTCATGATGTAAGTTATATTGTTTGATTCAGGGTGTAGAATAAGTACCCTTTATTGAAGCTGACCTTTTACATTTATCATGTTAGAAATTCATGCAATATTCAATAGTGCATTCTGAAGATTCAAATACAGAAAGCTTTAGGATAAATATATATATTTCTTTTTATTAAGATTTCAAACAAAGTTAATAACTTCTATTGCCAGATTTCTAATATCTTTAACACTTTACACATGAACACATTTCAAAATGATGCATAGTTTACTAATGCTGTGTTTTAGTGTTTATATGAGTGTGCTTTGATAATATAGGAAATAATAAATGGTATGTTTATAAAACAGTAAGAAAACATATGTTGATCATGTGTGATTTCTGTACAGACCTTACCTGTCTACCAATCTAACTATAGCTCTAGTATTTAACTAGTATAGATTCTAGATATTATTACCAAATGTTTTCTCTCTCATTTCTTCTCACCTCCCAACACATCTTGTAAACTAGACATAACACTTCCTCTCTTTCAGGTGTTTAAATACCATTCATATAATATCATTATTTATTCCATTCTGACGGTAAATATGAGTCAAGTACACACATACCAAACCAACCTCTCTAGTTTAAGGGCCAGAGGGTTTGGATGATTCATAATTGATTAGTTTTGAAAGATTTCTTAAATCCATTTTTTGGAACGAATAGGTTATCTATGCTTCTGTAGCTTTGGACTTTCTAAACGGCATTTATACTATTACACTTACATTTACACATGACTATTATACATTGACTTTTACACATTAACTTTTAACAATTGATTCTTTTAGTAATGACTATGCGATGCTTCCATTAAACTTTTGCTTGATTGCTAAATCATTGGTCCAATATATATAGTTTTCTGGTTGTTATTTTTTTATGTAAAAGATATTAGAGAAAGTCAATGATAGATTGCTGACATTTTAATTATTTATATTTGGTATACTTGATTGATTTCTGAATTTGAATTTTGAAATTACGTTATTATATTATTTATAGGAAAGTTTTTGACATCTTTATGATGACAGATACATGGTTGATTCATTTCTTTGCTTTATTCCACTCAATGTTCAATATATTGTATGATAAATAACTGAGCGGAAACCTTGTCAGGTTATGAGTTTATGATGTCTACAATGCAACATTAATGATATGGATATTAAACTTATGCGTGTTTTTGGCTGGAACAATGCATTTCTCTTGCTTCTGATTAAGTAATGATTCTTACAAAGATGAAGTTAACAACAGTACCTTCTTTTGGATATATTTTACTGCAGATTTAGTTTGTGTCGTGTGTCCATGTATCTTTTTGTGTCACATAAAGACAGATAACTCCATAATATTTTTATAATTCATCTTTAAAATAGTGATTATATAGATTACTATTAAACTTGAAGTCTGAAGATTAATTCACATTTATTTAAAAGGTTAACACTATTTTATATATTCAAAGCCAGTAGGTAAATCGTTCATATTTTTCTCAGAATGAACAAATGTTTTAACCTAAAATTGAGGTCAAACAGCTTAGACAGTGTATTTGTTGTTATTTGAATAGTTAAAGATGAGCTATTAACTATAGTAGCAGCTGTATTATTTCAATTATGTCAAGAGTATTGTGGTTTTATTTCAATATAAGTTCAAGCTTTAATTGTTTCTTTTTTTGATATCCTTAATCAAATCCTATATATAGATTGAAAGATATTAATTTACAATTAACATTCCTGTTAGCCTTGTGCATGAAATTTAAATGGAAAGTGAAGAGGGTTTAAAAGTTATTGGTAATATATCATATTGTATGTAATATTGTCAGTTTTGAGATGTAAAACTTGACCTGTTTTATTTTTCTATCACATACAAGCCATGTGTTTTATTTCTCTAGTATAAAATATAAAGAGGATATAATTATATAGTTGAATGATTTGATAACCTTTATGATAAAGCGGACAGTGTAAAGAAGATGTGTTATAAAAAATAAAGAGTTTGTGACAGTTAGATATTGAGTACTTTACAGAATGATATAGTCCTAAATGAGACAATTTAAATTATACTTCTTAAACAAGCTTGCATTCCAAATTCTTGAATACTTATCTAAAAGTGATAAAGGATATTATAAGGCAATTATTAAGGAATAATTACATACCCTGGTGTTTAGGGGTGGGGGATTTGGGGGAACTAATCAAATCATGTAATGCTTGACCTTTTTTTCGTTAACAGCGTCAAATTTTGGGATAACGATACCCATAGAGAGTTTCATAGATTTTTCTATCCCAAAATTGTTTACAGTTAGCATAAAACAGGTCCTACATGGTATGCTTTGATTGGTTAAAAATAACCTCATTTGAAAAAATTCATACTAGTATTGTATGATATGGGATATGTATGCCATTATTGTATTTTATTGTATATTTTAGGTCTGGTGCAAGGAAATAAGCCACCACCGTTAACTATGTTAAGTCCTGCTGGTTCTAAAGTTGCCAGAAATACAGCCACTGTTCCACCTTTAAACCAAGTATCACCAAGTAATGGATTAAACTCTGTAACAAGTAATTCGGCTTTGAATGCCACACGTACGTCGAGTTTTGCGGCCGCGCTGAGGAAATTGGCCTATCAGGCTAAAGATCCTGCCGGTATAATTATATAAATATCAAATTGTACTATTTACCTGTTGTATGGTGGCTTACTCCTAATTTGGTATAATTTGGTGCTTGTCAGTTGACAGTGTACTATTACTGACAGCTTTTTTTTTATTTTACATTATCAATTATGGCTTGTTTATTTTGATACACAAAATTTTGATGATTGAGATCTTTTTATCAATTTATCTTTTCTTAATTTGGAACAATTTACAAAATTCATTCAAACATATGTTTAATCAAAAGAAATATGGAATTTCTTCCCAAATTTTTAGTTTTTGTTGTTGTTTATTTGTCACTCCATATGAAATAGTTATTTCATCCCGATTGATTATAACATTTTTCTGCATTTAGCACCTAGCTTCAGCAAATATACCCTTATCATTTTACTACTTGTATGTTGTTGTGGTCTATGTATGCCTATTGGTCAACTCACACACAAACATTCAAAGTATTTCTTTGTTTTAATATGCAATTTGATATTTTCATTATTTGGTTTTTATAACTCATCTTTTGCTACCTATATTTATTAAAACTATTTCTTTATTTGAAACATATTTTTTTTTAAGCTTTTGATTTATTTAACTTCTTGTTTATTATAAAAAAAAAATAACAATTAATAATCTTAATTTAAAATTAATAAAATAGTATGCTAAATAATGATTCAGTCAATTTAAAGAGCTTTATTATACAATAATTTTGATTGATACGGTTGATATTTGACTGTTTGGTTATTTCAGATGAAGTTATAAAGCATTCTAGTCCAAATAGTAACAATAGTAGTCCAAGATCCAGTACACCAAAACGTGCTCCACCACCATTAGTGTATTCTAGTCAGTCTACAACATTAACATCACCACCAGTTGTTACTATAGCTCCTACACCATCACATCAACACTCCTCAACTACATCATTATCAGCTAATACTGATCATATTGCTAGACACGTAGGTTATAGTTTCATTTCATTCATATTAGTATCCCTGAATTCAACATGACATGATGAATAGTTTTATCAGGAAAGTCATCACTTTATATGCTGTTGATGTATATTGGTTAGTGGTTACATGGCTTAGCCAAAATTTTTAAAATTTGCTAGTGAATGCAATAAAAGCTACAGTTTTAGTGTGATTTTAAAAAAATGGTTTGCTTATCCATAGCGATAAGATCTTGTATGATATCAACTTAACTTTTTCAACAAATTATTGCCTTGTCCTTGCAAAAAGATTGACCTGAGTTATATAATGTATAACTTTTTGAGCCTCTGCTTGTTTTTATTTTATTGGAAATTATATTTCAGGGTTTAGATCGTATACCATCAGGTCACAGTTTATCATCAAGTTATGAATCAATAGCATTAAAACAGGAGCGTGAACAACGTCCTTTATCAGGCCATTCTAGAGATGATGACAGAAACAGTAAAGATGGGTTATCAATGGCTCATGCAGCTAGAATGTATGTTATTATTCAGATTTTCTTGTTAATCTTTATGAATTAAATATATAAAAAATCTGACCAAGGATTTTGGCTTCAAGTGTCTGCACATATTTGTTGGATTCTGAAACATATTGCATCCAAATGCAATGCACACTAACCTTAATGACAGTTGATAGTTTAATTACATACATACCTTGTGAATTTCCATCTGAATTCAAACAGGTCTTATTCAATATGACTGAATAATCTTCATGTCCGTGTAAATATCATTTTTTTGGTTTCGAATTGATTATTAATGTAAAATCATATTCATTATTCTTTTTTCATTTAGCAGAAATATATGTTATTCATTCTATTCCTCAGAACTCCACAATCAAGTACAAGTGGTGGATTAATGACTGGCAATAGAGATGATATTACACGTGGATTTCAACCTTACAGACATGGTGATGATATACGCCCACCTGTACCACCAGGATTTGGTATGGACCCAGCTTACGCAGCCTACCATTCAGCGTTATTAGCTTCACATTATTCACATCCAGCTTATAGGTAACTATCATAATACATAGGACTGTTATACTGTTTATTCTCTATTGAAACTATATGTGGGAAAAACGCTGGCATATATCAATCTGAATGATCTTGTCGAAAAAAAATCAGATGATCTTAAGAATATTGTTTCGCTTGTTCTGTTACCATTTTCACCACTTAAAAGATTGCATTAGGAAGACAACCTTTAACATTTCAAGGATGAAGTTTTCTTCAGATTAGAAAAATAGTTTATTCATTCTGCAATACCTGAATGAAAACCTCATGACTCAAAATTGAAGATATGATTAAGTTTGAAGAGCTTTCAAAGGAATCTGTAGTTAAATAAAATATCTATTATAAATAGTGGGATTTCATTTGATTTAGTACATTAAGCCTTGCACTTATGAGAGCACTGATGGCTGCTATCTGTGTTTCCGATATGGTGAGGAAAAAGAGTCACCTGCAGTGTATCTCTGTCTGATGATTATAATGAATTATTATAATATAGCATCTAATTTTACTTCAATACATAAAAAATCAGACTTATTATTTTAATATGATTGTTTTCTTTCAGATTAGAAGATCCATTGTTATTAGAAAGATATAGAATGATGCAACCATCTTTAATGATGCCTTTCTCTCACCCTGGAATGATGGCAGCAGCTGCTGCAGCAGGTCATCATGGTGTACATCCCCTGCTGGCTGGGGGTCGTTATCCCCCTGAATTATTACATCAGTATCCCTATATTTCACCTAGTGCTGCTCAATCTTTAGATCCCAGATCTCCAGCTCTCTCTGCTGAAAGGTAGGTTTAGTCTTCATTCTCACTCACTCACTGAATTCATTGCATTGGTAACTACTGCGTATATCATGTACTGTACGCAGCCAACATCCTTATTTTTTTATCTTCGTTAAATAGGGCTAGATTAGAAGAGGAAAGACAAAGAGAAATAGACAGAGAAAAAGAAAAAGATAGAGAAAAAGAAAGAGAAAAAGAAAAGTGGAGGGAAAAAGAGAGAGAGAAAGAAGCAACACAACGACTGAGAGAACGAGAAATTGAAAGAGAAAGAATGAAAATGGAACGCCAGGAACATGAAAGACATTATTTAGCTCAGAATTCTCACCACCAAAATGATATTAATCATAGAATAGACCATAGAGATGAAGGTACAATATTCTACTGAAAAATTAAATTTAGTTTGAAATTAAAATTATAGAATTATACTTTCAAGCACATGTTGCTATGTTTCGCTAAAAATGTTATTGACAGAAATTTCTGGTCTGATGTGAAATTTGATACATATTGGAAGAAAACTGACTGTGACTACATTAGCAAATGTAAAATTCCCATTGCATACCAACAGACAGCTGACATATCTATTGAATTTTGTAATCAATATAGAAATTAGCTGTGTTAACCCTTATACACTTTTATCAATAAATAAAATTTAATTTCATTACAGGTTCTAAACATGGTAGTATAACTCAAGGCACACCGCGTGATTCATATAATGATAAATATAAACAACAACAACGCCATGACCATCATATTAAACAACAATCATTATTAGATCATAGAAATCATCATAGAGTAAGTCATGTTTATTATTTAACTAGTTTTCTCTCAATCTTCAAAACTAATTAAAATTGAATTTCTTGCTTTTGATTCGAGCTTTTTTGATGTATTTTGTCCTATGACTTCTGCAATAAAATTCATTAAGTATATAATACAAAACACAAGACTCATACACAAGGATGAACATGTTTAAGTGACCTTTATCATATGGTTTATTACCTAGGAATATGGAAGAAATATGATGTCTGTTGAAGGACAAAGAAGATCTGATATTGAGTTGTCACGTGGACAACCACCACCATTAATTTCCCCTAAAGAACCAGGGGAATTAACTCATCATAGATCTGACACAGGACTTTTTAGACCTTTTGAAAAGGAGAGTCGTTCCAGTTATCCTTTAGAAATTCCTACTGTTCATAATCGCAAATTGGAGCATTCTGTTCAACCACTCAAAATACCACAAAGGGAGATAACACAGGACAAACACAAAAACTATTTGGGTGAACATGATCAAATGCGTAGCCTCCATGCAAATCATGACAGACGTGAAAACAATCACGATAATTATAGCCTTAAAAGACAGTATAATGATGTCAACAAAATGAAATCAAGTGAGGTATCTAATGAGTTAATGCCTAATAATAAAATAGTACATGTAGCTGTCAGTAAACTAGATAAAGAAGAAGCAAGATTACGTGAAGCCAGATTAAAGGGTACCTATCACAGTGATGATGATGAGGAAGATATGGATGATAGTGAGAAAGAAGAAGATAAAATTGAACGAATGATGTTGATACGTAATGGTCCACCAATGCCATTAGATAAATCAGTGAATAAATTAAAGTTTTTATCTAGTCTAGGTTTATTTACAATCAGAAGAAAGAAAGGTTGGTGTAGTATGTTTTCTTTGTTTCAAATCACCCACACTGCACTATGTTTATCATTAATATATTTTTTATATTCACTTATTTCTAAGACTTCTGCATTGACAAATCTCATGCCGAAATTTGCCTTTTTCCAAAAAATGTACCCAATTGAAACATTATCAATTCATGAATTTATTTTGTCAAGCTCATAAAACTATGAAGTTACAAAATAACAGTTTTAAATACAGAGACTCTCTAGCTGCATGTCATTTTCTTACCACCTTACAGATAAAGATTTTGAAAGGTATAGGAAGAGAAGGAAATACTTCAGGGAACAAAGTTTAAGTCCAATCATTGTTGAAGAAGACACAAAAAGCAAATCTGAGTCTTTAACCATTCCAAAACTAGATCCAGATATACTATGTAGTGAATTGGATTATCCTAATAAATGTAACTTTCTATCATCATTTAAACTACAACATTTAGAAAAAGAGGAGAGAAAAGGTGTGTTTTTCTATTATTTTATATTAATGGAAATCAGCCACATATCTTTTGTTTTCACACCATTTCTAGATTTTGGGTAAAAGATATTGAAAAAATTAATTTTGCACAATTTTCACTGTTTTTACTAACATAATATTTTATCATTTACAATTTTTATTGACAAGTGTTTGTTGAAGATATCAATTTGAAAACATCTCAAATTAGGAATTTGCTTATTATATTGAAGGACTCTACATTGCTTCCCAGTGTTTGACATTTATTTGGTCCTCTGCTTGATAAGCCTGTTTCCTTACATGTCCTAAGTTTATGGATTGCAAGTATGAACTACGTGCATCATTTAGACCTTAAGATCATATAGCTAAGTTCCAATATGGTCAAAAATAGGTTAAGAGTTTAATTATTTTAAGATTGCCTATATCTTGAATAGAAATAATGATATAATTTTTATAATAATAGAATTATGTTTAATACGTGAAGCTTGTCAGTTAGAAAAGAAAAGAAGATTAGGTGGAACTGATGTTAAAGATGAAAGATTATCAACTCAGTTGGATAAAAAAGGTAAGTTTTATTATGAGCTAAAAAAAATTTTGTAATTGATTGTATTACCTACTACACAAAATTTTTTTCAAATAAAACAGATAATATGTGAGAAAATAACTGTCCTAGATCACAGTCTTATTAGATACGTATGATATTTAACCCTTCTTATTGATTGTTCAAAACAATAAGCAATTTTGTTGTCAAAGAAAAAACATAGTCCAAAGCACTTTAAGGAGATTGGTTTGGTTTGGTTTCTTTTCTGTGAATAATTGAACGGATTGTAGGCAACGTCCATTTTGAAATGAGTCATGATTGATATTAATATAAGTAGAATAGTAAATACTGTTTAATACTATTATATTTTATAGGTATAAAAAGAAAGAGAGTAGAAGATAACAATAATACTGACCTATTAAATACTGAACCTATTCAATTAACATTAGCTCAATTACAACAACGTCATCAACAACAAACAAAACTCAATAATTTACATAATAAGATGTCAGATAATAGATCCACTGTGATATTTCCTACTGAATCTTGTGATCGAGGTAAAATATTAAGTCGAGAATTTGCTGAACAGTTTCATGAATCAGTATTACAGACTACTAGAGAGAAGGAACTACAGTCTAGATTGGGTAGGTGTTATAGTTCAAATTCTGCTCTTATAATTCTCTTAGTTTCCACAATAACATCAATTAGGGTATGAAATGAAAATTAGGCTAAACTTGCGTTCAGTTTTTTGTTAGCTGTTATATTTAATAATGCCACTTCAGTTAGAGCCTAAAGACAGGCCTGTTTAACATTATTTTGACGAATTTTCAAGAAACCAGTTTTTAGACCCTAACTGAAGTGGCCATAACGAAAATAAAAGCTATTAAAAACGGACTGAAAGTTTGATCTAATTTTGATTAGACTGACACCTCCATTTAATTCAATCATTTCATATTATCCAATAACTGCTTTGAAGTATTAGATTTAAGTTAAGCAACCTTTGCCATAAGTAAACTTTGACTTTTGAAACAAAAAAAAAGTCATTTGGATTTATTGTCTTTGTTTATTTCTATAGGCAATTCTCGTCATGATGGTACAAATCTATCATCTGATAAAACATCACCATCTAAACATCATGTATCAAGTGATGGGATTGGTTGTAGTAGTTTATCGGACCAATCAGAAACTAGTTCATTTAGATGGCCTGGTATAACAGCTGTAATGGAAGCATATCAAAGACATTCAGAAGGTATGACACTTTTATGTTCGCTTGATGATTGTAGATGCCGATTTCTGATGAAGATGTGACATCTCCAGAATTTGGCAATTTTAATTTAGTTAAACAAGTTCTTTCCCTCTCCAAATTGATGTTTTTCTTGGTATTTTATAGAACAAAAATCAGAACATGGTATTTTGAGTGAACGTTGTAAAAAGTTACAGAGTGAAAATAGAGATTTAAATAAAAAAGCTGAAGCATTAAGTAAAGCAATGGCAGTAAGTATTTTTATTTCTTTATTTGCACTAATGCATTTTCATGTATCACCTAAATATCAAATCAAGTAAAAGACCATTACTGTTGCATGTGATTCTACATGTTACCATACAGTATTAGATATTTAGTGTAGAGAGTCTAATGGTTTACCTACTGGAGGTCTACAAGCTAGAGTAATAAAATGTATTAGAAATTATTTATTATTTTATAATTGTAGATGTTATTAGAACAACAGAAACATTTTGAAGAAGAAAGAAATCGTAATCAAGCTGCAATAGAAAAATTAACCAAGCCTTTAAGACAGTTAAGATGATAAACCTGTGGTTTTATGTGTTGTGTATTTTTGGTGCATAATGTGCTTTAAACTATGAATATAAAAACCTAGAAATTTGCAGGAGAAAATGATGTGGATTCAATCACCAGATTTATATGTTCATATGGTTAGATACGTTGTATCTATGGTTGTATGATATTACAATGAATGTCAATTTTCTAGGTTTAAAATATTGTTATTTCTTGTCTCATTTATTGTTTTTTCTTTTTCTTATTTGTTTTTACTGAATACAATTTTATTGAATGAATATGACTGCCAAGCAGAATAAATCCTAAGTGTCTTGATTGATAAAATTATTGAACTTGAGGTGTAAGAAGTTCTATTCCCCCTCGTGATAATAAATAAAATAATCAAATGTTTTACCATTTTCTATATTTATATCTGTTCAGAGAACAGTATCATTGTATGAAAAACAATGTAAGCTTTGTACAGATGATAAAATTAAATCATCAATTTCCCATTGTAAGATGTTTTAGGAGCTTATCAGGCACAGGTTCACAAAGTCTTTAAAGTGAAGAGTTAAAAAACCATTTTTCTGACTGAAAAACCATTTTTGAAATAATCAAAACTTTTTGAATTTTGGAGGAGTAAAAAAAAAAGGCTTAATTCTGTGAATGAATCAATTTCGAGAACTTCTGTGGAAACAATATGAAGTGATTCTTATATAGGAATAACAAGATTATAGATTGTGTTTTGAATTTTATGTACAATAAATTTTGTGAATTCTACAAAATTCCCTCCTAAAATAAAACTTTTTAAAAATGCAACAGGATCTGAATGTCAGAGAAAAAGAGTTTCTATGTTGTTGCATTAAGTTCAGCTATTGAATAGCGTATTATCTTACCTCTACATTTTCTACTGTATTTATATCAATTTTATTGTTTAGGCGAATTGTAAAAACTTGCTTTTATATATATTATATCTACCTAAAATAAATTATGTTATTTATTGTACTATGTCAACCCCCTTTTTCATGACCTGTTTTTTACAGTCCATCTTACAATTTCACAATATAAACATGTTTTTGAGGCAGCACTTGTTTGTATTTATTGATATTGGCTTCATTCTCAAGAATTCTTATTATTGATTAAGTTTCAAATTGGTATTAATTTCATGCAATATTTATAAATTTATTTGTAACTTCTGAAATAGATTTTAATCATTCATTATTGAAATAGCAAGATAACAAAATGCATCCCTTTACATTTTTTTGAAGGATTAAAATGCTTTTAAAGATTGAAATCTTTTATATGAGCTACTGTGAAATTTTGTCTTTATTGTCTCCCTTTGTAGATAGTAGTTCACATTCCTTCAATATTTAAAAACCAGAATAAAATTCTGAATCAATTTTTGTTTATTTTTAATTTTGAATAATAATAATGTATTTGATACTGGTATATAAGATTTAGCATGTAGTGATAATGGTTCTGGTTCTTTTGTAAAGCATAACTTATTGGGTATTTGCAATAGGAACATCAAACACACTTAGTTTTGGAATTGCTAGTTGTCTGCTTGAAAATTGGACCATACCTTTCATGCTTTAAATACAACATTCATCATACTCCTGTGTAGACCTTTTACTTAAAGGGTATGCATTTCGCTACTTTCGTTCAGCTTAGTATTAAAAAAAAACATGACATTTATTATTAATATTTTTATAAAATCTATGCACAATTTACATACAATATGTACACAATCTTACATTTCTAATCTTGTGTCGCTTTTATTCCACCACTGACATTACTGCGCAGTAAATGCAGTTGATCAAGTGAAAGTGTTAAGAATGATCGTACTGTATTAATTTCCATCAATGTTAAATGGTTCAACTGAAAAAGAATAAAGATGTGATAACATATTTAAGGTATCCATGAAGAGCAAAACATGGATTGGAATAAACTACTGTATATTTGCAAAAATAATGTGCACTACTTCTTACCCACCAGTAAATCTGGATATATCTCTGATTGATATGTATCTTGTTCAGATGAAACAAATCAAGAAGTTTGCATAATGCATACACCAAAATAAATGGTAATCATTCTAAATTAAAATCATACATAAAATCATCTAAATGTCACTTGGAAGTAGGGCTGGGCAATCACAATAAATACCAATATAGGAATTTATATCATTAATAATATTGCTTGTTTAAAAATATCGAAATATCCCACATCCTGATATCAACTTGAACCAATATCAACCAGCCCTACTTGGAAGCATCAATGATCAGGAGAGGAGTTTGATTCACAATAGTTTGAGCAATTTCCAAAAGACAACTTCATTAAAATAAGTAATTAGTAATATAATATGATCTTGAATCCAACAATTACCTTAGCATGAGTTGCATCACTTTTAATAAAGGTATCGATACTGCTTCTTAATTTTGATATTCTTAAATCCCAGATGTCTTTTATTAATGTTCTTACATCATCAGCTCGAGGAATGTCTGCAGTTGCACTGTTAAAAAAAAGATTTATCAACATTTACATATAGTGGATCACTTTGGTATTCAGATGGTGATACAAAAAACTTCTACCAAACTTTATGAAAATCTGTTGAAAATTCAAGGAATTCCAAAATGTAAATAGTTCTTACTTGAATCACAACTCTACATACTAAGATAAACAAAGCCACACATTGCAGGATATATACCCACAGTTTATGTTTATTAAAACACATACTAGGTTTAACAATTCAATTAAATATTTCAGATTCTTCAGAATTCACAAGAAATATGAACTGAATGCAGCTTTACATCCTACCCTTCTACACCTATTTAGGTTAATGAAAACATTAGAGACCAGTAGATGTTAAACACACTTTATTGTAATGTGGTTCAAATTTCCACTAAACGCCCTTTTTTAAATGTAAATATTAATTTTATGGAAGTATATTTACCACTTCAAAAGTACTTGGGTAACCTCCATATAATATTTACTTGGCATTGGAGTAAAAAATTTGGAATCGGTTTCTTCTTGTTTCTTATCCTCCAACTTTTCTGTAATACATAATAAATTTTTCATTCATTCTTCAAATTTACAAATTATGCTGAAACCAACACCTTTAATTTAATGCAACCTGCCTATCAATTAAAGTACAAGCTTAAACCTATTCTGTTATTCTAATAAAGGAGATATTCCATGATTTTCACAACCATTAATTAGAACAAACTCATGTCAAAAATGTTTGGATACATTGAAGAACAGATACAATAATGAAATATTTTCACTGTGAAAAGAACAGATATATATAGATATTAATAAAGTTTATTTAGTTCCATCCAACTTACCTACATCCATCCATTCTGGTGGAACTATTCTACATTTATGTCTCTGTTTAAGATTAACTGCCATCCATAGTGGAATATCCACAGGTAATCCTGGACTGAATGGACCAATATCACCCTAAATATTAAAAAATAATAATTTACAAAGTAATAGTATAAATACATAGACAATGACAGTCTGGACTTTTTAAAATATATCGCAGATGACAGGCATTCATTATCAAGAAACTTTGGATTTTGTTTTATTCTGATCACAGATAATTACTCTCCTGCCAATGTAAGCTTGGAATGGACTTATTCTGTCAGGTCATTAATATGCAAAATAAAGTTTCAATCAAATGGCAATTATCTTAGAATGTTTTCACGTCCATAGAAATATAAGATTTCATGATTTTAACCAAAAAAAATTTTCAAACGGCAATTTTGGCCTTTTCCAGGGACCATTTAGGGGCTGTTTAGACCAAAGTTGGGACCATTTCGGGTGAGTGCCAAGTTGACTATAACCCAATGACATTCCACAAATTAAGACTTATGTATTGTAATTAATACACACAATGCCCTATACAGCTATGTTATTAATATCCTTTAATGACATAATAAAACACAAATATAGATAAATAAGAAAATCTTATGGATAGATACTTCTAGAATATAAGATACGGTAAATTTATTCAGTATTAAAGCCAACTGACTCATAGATACATCACTATAGTGTACAAATATAATAATTAACAAGTAGTAAATAAACAAATACAAATAAACACAATATTATAAAGTATCAATACAATAAATGATATTATAAAGTATCAATACAATAAATGATATTATAAACTATCAATACAATAAATGATATAAACTATCAATAGAATAAATGATATAAACTATCAATACAATAAATGATATTATAAACTATCAATACAATAAATGATATTATAAACTATCAATACAATAAATGATATAAACTATCAATACAATAAATGATATAAACTATCAATACAATAAATGATATTATAAACTATCAATACAATAATAACTAGAACCGTTATAACGGTACCGAAGCAGTGCGCATCCAACCTGATACATCGATAAAAGGTTGTATTTTAAAGTCACAATGGGATTTCTTACCGTAAAGAAAAGCATGTAAACGTTCAATAGTAGAAAAAATCATTTCGGTGGTGAAAAGACGCATGAATTTGGTACCATTCGGTACTAAAAGGTGTTAACATTCGGTAGTAAAAAGTCGAATTTTCAAATAGCTGTAAAGTTAAAAGTTAAATTCTCACAACAAAAATGAAAATATTTTTGGAAAGGTACAATAATTTGTGTTTCGGCCAAGAGGTAAACAGAGGTCAAATAAAAGAGAATATAAGCCTTAAAAGTGTTGAAAATTGCTGTTTTGGGACGTTTGTAAAAGCGAAAATATAAGTCGACATCAAAGATAAAAGTATGAATGGACATCGTAGGTCAATAACCTTTGACCTTCTAAAGACCAAGATTATGCATGTAAATGGTCAAAATATCAAAATTTTATAAATTGTAAATCCTATTCCCTTTTTTAAAGTAAAAGGCCTAAACAAAATGTAACTCTATCAGATATTGTCCCAAATAGTGCTTTAATTTTTTGTAAAATTTCGATGGTGAAAAATGCAAACTTTTCGAGTTATAACAATTTGAATTATTTATGGTAAAGGTAAAAGTAACCCGGATTTGCCACGCCCACTGCATAAATTTTGTGTTGTCTGTAATAATGTGTACAATGTCAAATAATGTTCAAAATTTCAAGTGTTTACAATCATTAGATCATGAGATATTCGTAGTTAAAAGTTTTTTTAAAGGCAATGGTGACTGAGGTGGATTATAGAAACCGTTAAAATTACGCAAAGTTACTATAGAAGTCAATACAAAATTTTCAAATTCAATTTTAATCAAAATACCAAGTGTTATATATCATTTGAAAGAATAGATTGCGTGTAATAAGGACAAAAGATAAATTTTCGCTTATGTAAATTAGGTCACGTGATAGACCTTTTTTTAAAGTTAAAAATCGAGATTTTCAATTGGCTGTAGAACCGGAAGTTAACGGAGCACGACAAAAGTGAAAATATTATCGGATATATCTCGTAATGGGCAACAACCTTTGTTCAGGTCAAAAGGTCAACAAAGGTTAAATAAAAGTAATATGAGCCTTTGAAGTTTCGAAAATTGCTGTTTTCGGATGTCTGTAAAACCGGAAGTATATGTTGCACATCAAAAATCAAAGTAAGAATGGTCATCTTAGATCAATGACCTTTGACCATGCAAAGGTCAAGATCATTTACGTTAAAGTTCAAAAATAAAAATTTTTAAAATTGTTAAACCTGTTCCCTTTTTTAAAGTAAAGAATGCAAACAACTGTAATCTTATCACAAATTGTCCTAAGCGGTGATCTACTTTCATGCAAAATTTCTAGGATGACAATTGCAAACTTTGCGAGTTATGACAATTGCAAATATTTCAGGTAAAGGTAAATGCCCACCGGATGTGCCACGCCTACCTCAAAAATTTTAATTTGTCTGTGATGATGTGTACATTGTTAAATAATGTTCAAAATTTCAAGTCTTTACAATCATTAGATCATGAGATATTCGTAGTTTAACTTTTTTTTAGGGCAACGGAGACTGTCGGTAAATTATAGACACCATGATTTTACGCACAGTTACTATAGAAGTCAGTACAAAATTTTCGATTTTTAATATCAAGTGTGATATATCACCAAAAAGGAGATTTTATGCACTCAAAGAATATATAAGAATTTTTGTCGTATGTTAATTAGGTCATGTGACAGAGCTCTTCAAAGTTAAAAATCGTGATTTTCCAATGGCTGTAGAACCGGAAGTTAACGATGCACAACAAAAGTGAGGATATCAACGGATATATCTCGTAAGGGGCAACAACTTTTGTACAGGTCACAAGGTCACCAAAGGTCAAAGTCACTAGATATGAGCCTTAATATTTTTGACAATTACTGAAAACATAAAACCGGAAATAAAAAAAATACGAATCCAAAATTCAAAAATCGGCTTCCTTAGTTTTGTTAAAATCGATTGCAGATTCTTTAGACAGCAAAATCACACAAATCAGATTTACCCCTGAAGCTTAATATCGATTTTTACAAAAATTGGTCACATCAAGATGGCGTCAACATGTTACTTCCGGTTCAAATTTTTTCATTCCAAAATTGTTATAGGGATAATTTTAACTAATTTCAAAAAGAAGTTGAAATTTCAAGTTTAGAGGCGAATGACGTCAAAACCGGAAGTGATATCGAAATTTTGAAAATAGATTTTTGTCAGGAATCAAAATGCTTATCTACTATTAAATTTTTAGATCGATTGAAATAAATAATGCGCATGCGCACAACAAAAATTCAATATTTCCATCAAATTTAGAATTGGATTATTCACATACATACCAAGTTTTATGAAAATCGGATAGTAAATAAGAAAGTTGGCAATGCGCATGCACACTACACAAATTCGAAAATCC